TATATGTGTATGTGATGGAATTAGAACAGAACTACGATGGTCATTGTTACATGTGTATGTGATGAAATTAGAACAGACCTACGATGGTCAATGTTATATGTGTATGTGATGAAATTAGAACAGACCTACGATGGTCAATGTTATATGTGTATGTGATGGAATTAGAACAGACCTACGATTGTCAATGTTATATGTGTATGTGATGGAATTAGAACAGACCTACGATGGTCAATGTTATATGTGTATGTGATGGAATTAGAACAGAACTACGAATGTTATATGTGTATGTGATGAAATTAGAACAGAACTACGATGGTCAATGTTATATGTGTATGTGATGGAATTAGAACAGAACTACGAATGTTATATGTGTATGTGATGGAATTAGAACAGACCTACGATGGTCAATGTTATATGTGTATGTGATGAAATTAGAACAGACCTACGATGGTCAATGTTATATGTGTATGTGATGGAATTAGAACAGACCTACGATGGTCAATGTTATATGTGTATGTGATGGAATTAGAACAGAACTACGATGGTCAATGTTATATGTGTATGTGATGAAATTAGAACAGAACTACGATGGTCAATGTTATATGTGTATGTGATGGAATTAGAACAGAACTACGATGGTCAATGTTATATGTGTATGTGATAAAATTAGAACAGACCTACGATGGTCAATGTTATATGTGTATGTGATGAAATTAGAACAGACCTACGATGGTCAATGTTATATGTGTATGTGATGAAATTAGAACAGAACTACGATGGTCAATGTTATATGTGTATGTGAGGGAATTAGAACAGACCTACGATGGTCAATGTTATATGTGTATGTGATGGAATTAGAACAGACCTACGATGGTCAATGTTATATGTGTATGTGATGGAATTAGAACAGAACTACGAATGTTATATGTGTATGTGATTAATTAGAACAGAACTACGATGGTCAATGTTATATGTGTATGTGATGGAATTAGAACAGAACTACGAATGTTATATGTGTATGTGATGGAATTAGAACAGACCTACGATGGTCAATGTTATATGTGTATGTGATGAAATTAGAACAGACCTACGATGGTCAATGTTATATGTGTATGTGATGGAATTAGAACAGAACTACGATGGTCAATGTTATATGTGTATGTGATGAAATTAGAACAGAACTACGATGGTCAATGTTATATGTGTATGTGATGGAATTAGAACAGAACTACGATGGTCAATGTTATATGTGTATGTGATGAAATTAGAACAGACCTACGATGGTCAATGTTATATGTGTATGTGATGAAATTAGAACAGACCTACGATGGTCAATGTTATATGTGTATGTGATGAAATTAGAACAGAACTACGATGGTCAATGTTATATGTGTATGTGATGGAATTAGAACAGACCTACGATGGTCAATTTTATATGTGTATGTGATGGAATTAGAACAGACCTACGATGGTCAATGTTATATGTGTATGTGATGGAATTAGAACAGAACTACGAATGTTATATGTGTATGTGATGAAATTAGAACAGAACTACGATGGTCAATGTTATATGTGTATGTGATGGAATTAGAACAGACCTACGATGGTCAATGTTATATGTGTATGTGATGAAATTAGAACAGAACTACGATGGTCAATGTTATATGTGTATGTGATGGAATTAGAACAGAACTACGATGGTCAATGTTATGTGTATGTGATGAAATTAGAACAGAACTACGATGGTCATTGTTATATGTGTATGTGATGGAATTAAAACAGAACTATGATGGTCAATTTTATATGTGTATGTGATGAAATTAGAACAGAACTACGATGGTCAATGTTATATGTGTATGTGATGGAATTAGATCAGAACTACGATGGTCAATGTTATATGTGTATGTGATGAAATTAGAACAGAACTACGATGGTCAATGTTATATGTGTATGTGATGAAATTAGAACAGACCTACGATGGTCAATGTTATATGTGTATGTGATGGAATTAGAACAGACCTACGATGGTCAATGTTATATGTGTATGTGATGAAATTAGAACAGACCTACGCTGGTCAATGTTATATGTGTATGTGATGGAATTAGAACAGACCTACGATGGTCAATGTTATATGTGTATGTGATGAAATTAGAACAGACCTACGATGGTCAATGTTATATGTGTATGTGATGGAATTAGAACAGACCTACGATGGTCAATGTTATATGTGTATGTGATGAAATTAGAACAGACCTACGATGGTCAATGTTATATGTGTATGTGATGAAATTAGAACAGACCTACGATGGTCAATGTTATATGTGTATGTAATGAAATTAGAACAGACCTACGAATGTTATATGTGTATGTGATGAAATTAGAACAGAACTACGAATGTTATATGTGTACTAGCTGCATCCCGTGCTCCGCCACGGTAAATCTTTTTTAAATGTACCAACTTGGGAACAGAACAAAACTAAACACAACACAAACGAACGCAAAAAACAACACAAACGAAAAAACAAACACAACACTCATAACATAAACACATCTTAAATGCAATCATAAAGGCATATTGCTCACAGTCTAGCCCGTAGCGCCAAATCGCGCCCTTTCCGAGCGCCGGCGGACGCGTCTGACACAGTTAATGAGGCGTAGCGACCCTTACCGGCGCCCGGGGACAAACTTTCGATTTGCTATCCCCCCCCCCCCCCTCAAACTTTTGATTTTGCACCCCTTCCCCTCAAACTTTCAATTTCCACCCCACTCCCTTAAACTTTAGCTTTGCACCCCACCCCCTCCCCCTCTACTATAAAACCCCTAGCTTGTCCGCAAACCGAAAGATAGAATAATAATTAGTAAATAATACGTTCAGTGTATAAAATAAATTAAAGGCATCTATAATAATAGTTTCGCTGTCTGTGTATCTATCTATCTATCTGTGTATCTATCTGACAAGAACGCTCTAGAGAAAACACAAGCAAATTAAAAACATGCATAGTATTTCGAAAACGAAATATGACGTCATATTGAGCATAGAGTAGAAAATAATCTCAAGCCGGAGAGTGCACACAGTAATATGACGTCATTGATTCTCGAGTAAACATTGTCTAATCTAAATGGCTTGCGTGAAGAGTTTCTTTCATACAATTCTTCAGGTAGGGGCGAAGCCCTGCCCCCGGTAGAACATCTAAGCCGCCTTCCCTCCCCCCCCCCCTACTCAAAAGATATGGCGTCATCGATACTCTATAATAAAAAAGACTGACATTACTGCATAATTAATGTGTATAAACTTAAAAGTGTTTGGCATTTAGAGTTTCTTTCATATAATTCTTCGGGTAGTGGCTAAGCGCGACACCAGTGTTTCTTTCAGACTTTTTCCTCCGAGGAGAGGGGAACTTTAAATTTTCTAATCTAAAAAGTGTTATGCGTGCAAAGTTTCTACCGTTAGTTTGTATGATCTACAAATGCGAACAGTGTTTCTTTCAGACTCTTTCCTCCCCGAGAGGGAGGGGGGTACTTGAAAATTGTCGGGGTGTGGGGGGAGGGGGGGCGGGGCGGAGCCCCCTATCCCCAAGTAGAGTCGCCTGAAAGAAACTCTAAATGCGACTTATGTCATGATTGAGACTAGGTGCATGGCTTAGGTGTATGGCTACGAAGTGTAGATCAAGCTTAAATCCGATTAAAATGACGATTCTTGATAAAAATCCGTTTTCAAAGTAATTTGTCGTTTCCGATTCAATTTGAGGTTAAGGTGGTGGCTTTGGTTTTGGTTTAGAGAAAATAAATAGACAGCACTATCAACCTAGCGCCCGTTGTATCCTTCCTCAACGGGCAATTTTTCTCGTTATTTAGAATATCCGTGTTTTACAGACCATATTGCACATTATAAATTCATGCACTTTTTTCAGTACTTTTTAAAATTTACAATAAAGTTTCATGACTAAAACCATTGCGCACCTAATGAACGTGATAATTAATATAATAATGGAGAATAGTTTATTAAAAATTATAATTAGTAAACAGTAAATTCAGTGAATAAAATAAATAAAAGAAAGCCTTTTATCAATCAATGCTAATTATAATATTCCAACAATAATGTACTATTACACGTCTGCATAATTTGCATTCACATTTTGCTAATTATATTATTCCACCAATTATTCCGTCTTGCAGATTTTGCATTCACATTTTTAGCGTGAGTTTAATTTATTTTTAAATTACCTATCTTGGCAAAATTACTAAACCGTTTAATTTAATTTTTCTACCCTAATGTTATTATGGTATTAAAATGTATCCGCTTTTTCTGAGAATCTAAACGAAAATGATATTTGACATTAATCTTTTTAATATGTTTTAGCAATGTGCGTGTATTTAATATTTTCTTCACGTTATGCAAAAAAAGAAAAACAGTGGCAATTATAAAATAGCTCTATGCCGTTATATAAACAAACCCTACTCTATTTCTTATAATAAGACACTGCAGTGCACTGAAAAGCACAGCATGGTGCGATGTTTACTTTTATGTTTCAAAATCTATAGCGATGACAGACTGACACACGCTCAGCCCGCATACATTATAGATGTGATAGAGTTGAAGCAGAAGTACCTAGTGCCACAATCGATCTTGATTAGTTTAGAGGCTTGTTCAACTCATGCACTTATTTAGAGCAATAGAAAGGCAGGTGGGCGATTCATTAGGCGATAGACAGGGAGAGGTCAACTAACAGGTGAGATTTTAATGGGAGAGGTCAACATACAGGTGAGATTTTAATGGGAGAGGTCAACATACAGGTGAGATTTTAATGGGAGAGGTCAACATACAGGTGAGATTTTAATGGGAGAGGTCAACTAACAGGTGAGATTTTAATGGGAGAGGTCAACTAACAGGTGAGAACAGGTGAGAAAATTAGATAATTAGAAGTTCCTGCAGGGTGCTAAATGACAGGTAAATAAGCTCAGTAATACAAAGCTAAAAGTCAACTTGTTTTTATTTTAGCTTCAATAGATGGCAATGTGACGTCGACACCAAGACCAGATGCTCCCCCAGATAAATGGGCGTTTTTCAACTCAACACTCGGCACCTTCCTGATCTACCTGCTGATACTTGGGCTGTGTATGGCTGGTCTCTTCTGTTGCACGTGTCCGTGTAGGAAGAAAAAGTCGAAAAAACGGAAAGCAAAGCTTCACACAGGTGGGTAGATATTCTCACACAGGTGGGTACTTACTCTCAGAGGTGGGTACTTACTCTCACACAGGTGGGTACTTACTCTCAAATGTGGGTACTTACTCTCAAATGTGGGTACTTACTCTCACATGTGGGTACTTACTCTCACACAGGTGGGTACTTACTCTCACACAGGTGGGTACTTACTCTCAGAGGTGGGTACTTACTCTCACACAGGTGGGTACTTACTCTCAAATGTGGGTACTTACTCTCAAATGTGGGTACTTACTCTCACATGTGGGTACTTACTCTCACACAGGTGGGTACTTACTCTCACACAGGTGGGTACTTACTCTCACATGTGGGTACTTACTCTCACATGTGGCTACTTACTCTCACACAGGTGGGTACTTACTCTCACACAGGTGGGTACTTACTCTCACACAGGTGGGTACTTACTCTCACACAGGTGGGTACTTACTCTCACATGTGGGTACTTACTCTCAAATGTGGGTACTTACTCTCACACAGGTGGGTACTTACTCTCACACAGGTGGGTACTTACTCTCACACAGGTGGGTACTTACTCTCACACAGGTGGGTACTTACTCTCACACAGGTGGGTACTTACTCTCACACAGGTGGGTACTTACTCTCACACAGGTGGGTACTTACTCTCACATGTGGGTACTTACTCTCACATGTGGCTACTTACTCTCACACAGGTGGGTACTTACTCTCACACAGGTGGGTACTTACTCTCACACACGTGGGTACTTACTCTCACACATGTGGGTACTTACTCTCACACAGGTGGGTACTTACTCTCACACAGGTTGGTACTTACTCTCACACAGGTGGGTACTTACTCTCACACAGGTGGGTACTTACTCTCACATGTGGGTACTTACTCTCACATGTGGGTACTTACTCTCAAATGTGGGTACTTACTCTCACACAGGTGGGTACTTACTCTCACACAGGTGGGTACTTACTCTCACACAGGTGGGTACTTACTCTCACACAGGTGGGTACTTACTCTCACACAGGTGGGTACTTACTCTCACACAGGTGGGTACTTACTCTCACACAGGTGGGTACTTACTCTCACATGTGGGTACTTACTCTCACATGTGGCTACTTACTCTCACACAGGTGGGTACTTACTCTCACATGTGGGTACTTACTCTCACATGTGGGTACTTACTCTCACACACGTGGGTACTTACTCTCACACAGGTGGGTACTTACTCTCACATGTGGGTACTTACTCTCACATGTGGCTACTTACTCTCACACAGGTGGGTACTTACTCTCACATGTGGGTACTTACTCTCACACAGGTGGGTACTTACTCTCACACAGGTGGGTACTTACTCTCACACACGTGGGTACTTACTCTCACACATGTGGGTACTTACTCTCACACAGGTGGGTACTTACTCTCACACAGGTTGGTACTTACTCTCACACAGGTGGGTACTTACTCTCACACAGGTGGGTACTTACTCTCACATGTGGGTACTTACTCTCACACAGGTGGGTACTTACTCTCACACAGGTGGGTACTTACTCTCACACAGGTGGGTACTTACTCTCACACAGGTGGGTACTTACTCTCACACAGGTGGGTACTTACTCTCACATGTGGGTACTTACTCTCAAATGTGGGTACTTACTCTCACACAGGTGGGTACTTACTCTCACACAGGTGGGTACTTACTCTCACACATGTGGGTACTTACTCTCACACATGTGGGTACTTACTCTCACACAGGTGGGTAATTACTCTCACATGTGGGTACTTACTCTCACACAGGTGGGTACTTACTCTCACACAGGTGGGTACTTACTCTCACACAGGTGGGTACTTACTCTCACACAGGTGGGTACTTACTCTCACACAGGTGGGTACTTACTCTCACACAGGTGGGTACTTACTCTCACACAGGTGGGTACTTACTCTCACACAGGTGGGTACTTACTCTCACACAGGTGGGGACTTACTCTCACAGGTGGGTACTTACTCTCACACAGGTGGGTACTTACTCTCACACAGGTGGGTACTTACTCTCACACAGGTGGGTACTTACTCTCACACAGGTGGGTACTTACTCTCACACAGGTGGGTACTTACTCTCACACAGGTGGGTACTTACTCTCCCACATGTGGGTACTTACTCTCACACAGGTGGGTACTTACTCTCACACAGGTGGGTACTTACTCTCACACAGGTGGGTACTTACTCTCACACACGTGGGTACTTACTCTCACACAGGTGGGTACTTACTCTCCCACATGTGGGTACTTACTCTCACACAGGTGGGTACATACTCTCCCACATGTGGGTACTTACTCTCTCACAGGTGGATACTTACTCTCACACAGGTCGGTACTTTCTCTCACAGAGGTGGGTACTTACTCTCACACAGGTGGGTACTTACTCTCACACACGTGGGTACTTACTCTCACACAGGTGGGTACTTACTCTCAAATGTGGGTACTTACTCTCACACATGTGGGTACTTACTCTCACACAGGTGGGTACTTACTCTCACACACTTGGGTACTTACTCTCACATGTGGGTACTTACTCTCACACATGTGGGTACTTACTCTCACAGAGGTGGGTACTTACTCTCACACAGGTGGGTACTTACTCTCACACACGTGGGTACTTACTCTCACATGTGGGTACTTACTCTCACACATGTGGGTACTTACTCTCACAGAGGTGGGTACTTACTCTCACACAGGTGGGTACTTACTCTCACACACGTGGGTACTTACTCTCACATGTGGGTACTTACTCTAACACAGGTGGGTACTTACTCTCACAGAGGGGGGTACTTACTCTCACACAGGTGGGTACTTACTCTCACACACGTGGGTACTTACTCTCACATGTGGGTACTTACTCTCACACATGTGGGTACTTACTCTCACACAGGTGGGTACTTACTCTCTCACATGTGGGTACTTACTCTCCCACATGTGGGTACTTACTCTCTCACAGGTGGGTACTTACTCTCACACAGGTGGGTACTTACTCTCACACATGTGGGTACTTACTCTCCCACATGTGGGTACTTACTCTCTCACAGGTGGGTACTTACTCTCATACAGGTGGGTACTTACTCTCACACAGGTGGGTACTTACTCTCACACAGGTGGGTACTTACTCTCACAGGTGGGTACTTACTCTCACATGTGGGTACTTACTCTCACACAGGTGGGTACTTACTCTCACACAGGTGGGTAATTACTCTCACACAGGTTGGTACTTACTCTCACACAGGTGGGTACTTACTCTCACACAGGTGGGTACTTACTCTCACACAGGTGGGTACTTACTCTCACATGTGGGTACTTACTCTCACACAGGTGGGTACTTACTCTCACACAGGTGGGTACTTACTCTCACACATGTGGGTACTTACTCTCACACAGGTTGGTACTTACTCTCACACAGGTGGGTACTTACTCTCACACAGGTGGGTGCTTACTATCACATGTGGGTACTTACTCTCACAAGTGGGTACTTACTCTCACACAGGTGGGTACTTACTCTCACACAGGTGGGTACTTACTCTCACACAGGTGGGTACTTACTCTCACATGTGGGTACTTACTCTCACACAGGTGGGTACTTACTCTCACACAGGTGGGTACTTACTCTCACACAGGTGGGTACTTACTCTCACATGTGGGTACTTACTCTCACACAGGTGGGTACTTACTCTCACACAGGTGGGTACTTACTCTCACATGTGGGTACTTACTCTCACACAGGTGGGTACTTACTCTCACACAGGTGGGTACTTACTCTCACACATGTGGGTACTTACTCTCACACAGGTGGGTACTTACTCTCACACAGGTGGGTACTTACTCTCACATGTGGGTACTTACTCTCACACAGGTGGGTACTTACTCTCACACAGGTGGGTACTTACTCTCACACATGTGGGTACTTACTCTCACACAGGTTGGTACTTACTCTCACACAGGTGGGTACTTACTCTCACACAGGTGGGTGCTTACTATCACATGTGGGTACTTACTCTCACAAGTGGGTACTTACTCTCACACAGGTGGGTACTTACTCTCACACAGGTGGGTACTTACTCTCACACAGGTGGGTACTTACTCTCACATGTGGGTACTTACTCTCACACAGGTGGGTACTTACTCTCACACAGGTGGGTACTTACTCTCACACAGGTGGGTACTTACTCTCACATGTGGGTACTTACTCTCACACAGGTGGGTACTTACTCTCACACAGGTGGGTACTTACTCTCAGAGGTGGGTACTTACTCTCACACAGGTGGGTACTTACTCTCACATGTGGGTACTTACTCTCACACAGGTGGGTACTTACTCTCACACAGGTGGGTACTTACTCTCACACAGGTGGGTACTTACTCTCACATGTGGGTACTTACTCTCACACAGGTGGGTACTTACTCTCACATGTGGGTACTTACTCTCACACAGGTGGGTACTTACTCTCACACAGGTGGGTACTTACTCTCACACATGTGGGTACTTACTCTCACACAGGTGGGTACTTACTCTCACACAGGTGGGTACTTACTCTCACACAGGTGGGTACTTACTCTCACATGTGGGTACTTACTCTCAAATGTGGGTACTTACTCTCACACAGGTGGGTACTTACTCTCACACAGGTGGGTACTTACTCTCACACAGGTGGGTACTTACTCTCACATGTGGGTACTTACTCTCAAATGTGGGTACTTACTCTCACACAGGTGGGTACTTACTCTCACACAGGTGGGTACTTACTCTCACATGTGGGTACTTACTCTCAAATGTGGGTACTTACTCTCACACAGGTGGGTACTTACTCTCACACAGGTGGGGACTTACTCTCACACAGGTGGGTACTTACTCTCACATGTGGGTACTTACTCTCAAATGTGGGTACTTACTCTCACACAGGTGGGTACTTACTCTCACACAGGTGGGTACTTACTCTCACACAGGTGGGTACTTACTCTCGCATGTGGGTACTTACTCTCACACATGTGGGTACTTACTCTCACACATGTGGGTACTTACTCTCACATGTGGGTACTTACTCTCAAATGTGGGTACTTACTCTCACACAGGTGGGTACTTACTCTCACACAGGTGGGTACTTACTCTCACACAGGTGGGTACTTACTCTCGCATGTGGGTACTTACTCTCACATGTGGGTACTTACTCTCACACAGGTGGGTACTTACTCTCACACAGGTGGGTACTTACTCTCACACAGGTGGGTACTTACTCTCACACACGTGGGTACTTACTCTCACACAGGTGGGTACTTACTCTCACACAGGTGGGTACTTACTCTCACAGAGGTGGGTACTTACTCTCACACATGTGGGTACTTACTCTCACAGGTGGGTACTTACTCTCACACAGGTGGGTACTTACTCTCACACAGGTGGGTACTTACTCTCGCATGTGGGTACTTACTCTCACATGTGGGTACTTACTCTCACAGGTGGGTACTTACTCTCACACAGGTGGGTACTTACTCTCACACAGGTGGGTACTTACTCTCACACAGGTGGGTACTTACTCTCACATGTGGGTACTTACTCTCACATGTGGGTACTTACTCTCTCACAGGTGGGTACTTACTCTCACACAGGTGGGTACTTACTCTCACACAGGTGGGTACTTACTCTCACACATGTGGGTACTTACTCTCAAATGTAGGTACTTACTCTCACACAGGTGGGTACTTACTCTCACACAGGTGGGTACTTACTCTCACACAGGTGGGTACTTACTCTCACAGGTGGGTACTTACTCTCACACAGGTGGGTACTTACTCTCACACAGGTGGGTACTTACTCTCCCACATGTGGGTACTTACTCTCTCACAGGTGGGTACTTACTCTCACACAGGTGGGTACTTACTCTCACACAGGTGGGTACTTACTCTCACACAGGTGGGTACTTACTCTCACATGTGGGTACTTACTCTCACAGGTGGGGACTTACTCTCACAGAGAGGCGGGGGATGAGGGTGCTATGATAGATGTGTGGGTGTTTTCTATATGCGTATGGATGCTATAGTATGTGTGTCTCTAAGTGTCAGTTAAAATCTTCCATCACTGTACTCTAGTCACTTAAACCCTTGCATCACTGTACTCTAGTCACTTAAACCCTTGCATCACTGTACTCAAGTGTCGGATGTAACTGAAATTTGAAAATGTCCTGTTGAATGTCCTATTGAATGTCCTATTGAATGTTCTATTGAATGTCCTATTGAATGTCCAATTGCATGTCCTATTGAATGTCCTATTGCATGTCCTATTGCATGTCCTATTGAATGTCCAATTGAATGTCCTATTGCATGTCCTATTGAATGTCCTATTGAATGTCCTATTGCATGTTCTATTGAATGTCCTATTGAATGTCCAATTGCATGTCCTATTGAATGTCCTATTGCATGTCCTATTGCATGCCCTATTGAATGTCCAATTGAATGTCCTATTGCATGTCCTATTGAATGTCCTATTGAATGTCCAATTGAATGTCCTATTGAATGTCCTATTGCATGTCCTATTGCATGTCCTATTGCATGTCCAATTGAATGTCCTATTGAATGTTCTATTGAATGTCCTATTGCATGTCCTATTGAATGTCCTATTGCATGTCCTATTGAATGTCCTATTGAATGTCCTATTGCATGTCTTATTGAATGTCCTATTGAATGTCCTATTGAATGTCTTATTGAATGTCCTATTGAATGTCCTATTGAATGTCCTATTGAATGTCCTATTGAATGTCCTATTGAATGTCCTATTGAATGTCCTATTGAATGTCCTATTGAATGTCCTATTGCATGTCTTATTGAATGTCCAATTGAATGTCCTATTGAATGTCCTATTGAATGTCCTATTGAATGTCTTATTGAATGTCCTATTGAATGTCCTATTGAATGTCCTATTGCATGTCTTATTGAATGTCCAATTGAATGTCCTATTGAATGTCCAATTGAATGTCCTATTGAATGTCCTATTGAATGTCCTATTGAATGTCGTATTGCATGTCTTATTGAATGTCCAGTTGAATGTCCTATTGAATGTCTTATTGAATGTCCTATTGAATGTCCTATTGAATGTCCTATTGAAACAGGTCACCACCGCGGATCGCTAGCTAGTCCTGTAGGACAAGCCGGAAGTCCAACCGTCCAGAATATCCAATCAAAGGCCACCACGACACTGACAGAGGCGACAAGCAGCATTACGTCATCAAATGTCTCATCATCATCCGCAACAACCGCCTAATTTTACATTCTAGTCATACGTCAGGGTTTTTATTTTAGTCATCCGTCAGGTTTTTTATTCTAGTCATACGTCAGGTTTTTTTATTTTAGTCACGTCAGTTTTTTTTTTTATTTTAGTCACGTCAGGTTTTTTTTTATTTTAGTCATACGTCAGGTTTTTTTTATTTTAGTTAACGTCAGGTTTTTTAGTCATACGTCAGGTTTTTTATTTTAGTCATATGTCAGGTTTTTTAGTCATACGTCAGGTTTTTCTATTTTAGTCATACGTCAGGTTTTTTAGACATACGCCAGGTTTTTTATTTTAGTCATATGTCAGGTTTTTTAGTCATACGTCAGGTTTTTTTATTTTAGTCATACGTCAGGTTTTTTTAGTCATACGCCAGGTTTTTTATTTTAGTCATATGTCAGGTTTTCGATTATGGTCATAAATCTGTTTGTCCAGTTAATATAAACATTATCCGATTTCAACTTTGATAACATTATATTATGACAAACAGAAGACAAGAATTATTTTATTAACTGCATTCGTTGGTTGAAATAATAATGTTGTTGTGTACAATTTTTTTGTATTAATTAAAAAAATATTGCAGCATGTGGTTGTGTTACAGACAATAATTTTTTTAATTTGCTGTCTTGACCATAATATTAAGCAAGAAATTCAGTAGAGAGCGTTCAAATTTCTTAGAAAATTTACATCAGAATTTCTTCCAGGCATCTCTTCAGGGACCCCCATCTCACCCCCCCCCCCCCACCACCTTTACCCGGTTAAAACTCATGAGATTTTTTACATATTTTAGCTACCAACGCTTTTATGAAAGAAAGCAAATTAGTTTTATATTCTTATTTTCAGTGCATTTTAAAGCTTGTTGCTATAAAGTTTTTTTTTTTTATATTTGTTTTATTTTTGTATAAATACAAATTTCTATATAAAGTTAAATACAAATGGTAGCGGCAATGATACAACAGATAGTGTTAGTTATCTAACGAATTAAAGACAGTTTCAGCTACTAAATTAAGTAATCACATTCTCGTGCTACTTAGACAATCATTTTTATTACTATTTTTATCATTTAAAAACCAAAAAAACCTGTAAAGAAAGCTTTTATAGATGTCCTAAAAAAACAATTTTAAAAATTCTTTACGAGTACACATTAAGTTTAATTTTTTAAATAAAGGTGTGAAAGTTTTCAAAAGGGGCGAGAATAAAGGTGGGAAAGTTTTCAACAGGGGGGAGAATAAAGGTGTGAAAGTTTTCAACAAGTGCGAGAATAAAGGTGTGAAAGTTTTCAATAGGGGCGAGAATAAAGGTGTGAAAGTTTTCAACAGGGGGGAGAATAAAGGTGTGAAAGTTTTCAACAGGGGGGAGAATAAAGGTGTGAAAGTTTTCAACAGGGGCGAGAATAAAGGTGTGAAAGTTTGTTTTCAATAGGGGCGAGAATAAAGGTGTGAACGTTTTCAATAGGGGGGAGAATAAAGGTGTGAAAGTTTTCAAAAGGGGCGAGAATAAAGGTGTGAAAGTTTTCAACAGGGGGGAGAATAAAGGTGTGAAAGTTTTCAACAAGTGCGAGAATAAAGGTGTAAAAGTTTTCAACAGGGGGGAGAATAAAGGTGTGAAAGTTCTCAACAGGGGGGAGAATAAAGGTGTGAAAGTTTTCAACAGGGGGGAGAATAAAGGTGTGAAAGTTTTCAACAGGGGCGAGAATAAAGGTGTGAAAGTTTGTTTTCAATAGGGGCGAGAATAAAGGTGTGAACGTTTTCAATAGGGGCGAGAATAAAGGTGTCAAAGTTTTCAACAGGGGGGAGAATAAAGGTGTGAAAGTTTTCAACAAGTGCGAGAATTAAGGTGTGAAAGTTTTCAATAGGGGGGAGAATAAAGGTGTGAAAGTTTTCAACAGGGGGGAGAATAAAGGTGTGAAAGTTTTCAACAAGTGCGAGAATAAAGGTGTGAAAGTTTTCAACAGGGGGGAGAATAAAGGTGTGAAAGTTTTCAACAGGGGGGAGAATAAAGGTGTGAAAGTTTTCAACAGGGGGGGGGAGAATAAAGGTGTGAAAGTTTTCAACAGGGGGGAGAATAAAGGTGGGAAAGTTTTCAACAGGGGGGAGAATAAAGGTGTGAAAGTTTTCAACAAGTGCGAGAATAAAGGTGTGAAAGTTTTCAACAGGGGGGAGAATAAAGGTGTGACAGTTTTCAACAGGGGGGAGAATAAAGGTGTGAAAGTTTTCAACAGGGGGGATTACTTGACCGCCAGACTCCGAGTGCGGGTAGCTCCGCATGTTAACATAAATGTTACATACCCTTTAGTAAGGCAAATCAACGCTTAAAAATCAATTTCTGGCTCAAACTAAATTGGCACTATTGTCACAGGAAAAATTCACAAATGTGTATAAACAAGGAATTTTTTAATACTTTGATGCATTAATTGACTTAAAGCGGTATGGATCGCTCGTAAACCTTCTCGTATCATCTACTTATTGAAGGGTGAAGCCGCATGAAGATGACGTGTATAAAGCCGTAAAAAAGAAACCCCAATTGAACTTTGAACTTAGGTCATGGGTCAGGGCATCACTTTCAAATAAAAATGGCTAGCCAATAATGTTAATTTTTGTCACCTGCACAGTTGAGTGCGTGACAATCGAATTTTAACTTTCGTCAACAGCTTAAATGCTATAACTGTTTGTTGTTGCTATTAGGTTTCAATACTATTATCAATGATCTAATTCAAGAATACATGCGATACATTAAAGTAATGTGTTGTGCCTCTTAGATCTGTAGCACAAGAATTGAGCTTAAAAACTGTTTGTTGTTTCTATTAGGTAACATTGGAATAGATTAAACTTGGATATACTTCAATTAAAACATGATTACGGAGACTATCCTAATATATAATTCCCCATGTGCGCACTTCTCTCTCTCTCTCTCTCTCTCTCTCTCTCTCTCTCTCTCTCTCTCTCTCTCTGTCTGTCCGCAAAATATTTTCGCCGGACATCACGTCAGAAACGGCAGCGATATATGGAGAACTTTATACGGACTTTTGTTGAAAATAATATGTTAGATGTTTTAAATGTATAACCACAATTTTATTTAAAGAAGAAAAATAAAAATCAAAGGCGTATTCTAATGTAGAAAAACAGTATTATTTATGCCACCGGAAAAGCATTAATAGATGTGAAAAAGAACGCATAATACTGTGACGTCACTATTGCTTATAATTTAACTAATGACGTCATCTGTCGTGTTTAGAATAAAAAGAAATGAACTATTTCATTCAAATTTGATTTAGATCTACGTACACTATGAAATGTATACAATACAATTTTTCCGGCCTAAACTCATAAAATTTATTTTATTTATTTGGATTCTAGATCTAGATATTCTAGATTCATCTATTCAAATAATACATTTCTATACTAAAGTATTTCAGGCGTTAATTACTTTATTGAAATCTGTGTTTATATATGCAATTTGCTAATCTCTATAATATATAAAGCAAAGTTGTCGGGTGCCCGATAGGGCACTTCCCGGCGCCGCAGGCGCTTCAAATTGGGCAGGATCTTGCCTTGGGGCGACAGAACACGGGGGCCGGTTGGCCGAAAAGTCTACGATGATGGGGTCAAAACTGACCTCGACTGACCGGCGCCTTATATGAGCTATAAATCGAAAAAAAATGTCCACGGAGGAACCTGTTCATAACTCCTGGGGTCGTAGACCGACCCTCGGGCGAATTAATTAAGCATTCAAATTCTCAATGTTTTCGAAAGCCTAAGCAAAGCTGGGCAGCATGCCTAGTGATAAATAATACTGTCTGAGCGACTCGTCATGTATTTTTCCATGCTTTTGGGTGAGATCGCTCATTGACGTAAGGGGAGAGAATGGACCGTATAAAAGGGAGAGCGAAAGGTGAACGGGGGTGCTAGCTGTGAATATGAAGTAGGATGTCACCACGTCACTTTGATTCGTGATTGTGATTGTACTTATACCAGTTGTTTATCTTCTACTATGGATTTACTATGGATTTATTATTTCACTGTATAAAGTGTAAATAAAGTTATAGTTTGAAGTTACTACCATTGCTCGTGTGAGTGTATTAAACGTACCCACAATAACAACAATGAAATGGATGTTGTTACTAATACAAAATATTTTCAGCTTTAATATGAGAGTTTCTAGCCAAGATGATAACGCGTTAACGAATCACTCAGGTGGTAGGGGTACGAAACCCTAAGCAGTCATTTGTTTTAATGTTCCAACCTCATGATAGAGGACAGAGTTAAAAGCGAAAAGCACGAAAATGGTTCTAAGCGGTTTTTGTTCTTTTGACATTTTTTTTTATTATTCTTATGAAAAAAAATAGCACTCTATTAAGAAATTTTAATTTATTTTTAAAAATTAATTGAACATCTAATTAAGTCGCATGTTATGTCACAGCACATTGTCATCAAGTCTTAACCTTCTTGAAAAGTTTGAAAGAAATCGGTCCGGTAGAAGTGATAATTGTTTTGAAATTAGAAATAGGGTAAAGCCCTACTTCAAAATTTGAAAAAAATCAAGAAATTAAGATTTTATAAATGTCTATGAAATTTGATTTATCTAAATTAAACGGTAGGTATGTTATCTGTATTTTATATACCTGAGACATAGTAAACTATCAATTCCGAATATCAGAGGTCACTCAAAATTTGAGTATAATATCTTATGCTTTTATAGTGAAATTATCTACCTTAATAAAACAGTATTCTTATTAACGTGGTCCTGAGAAAACAACAATGTACGCTTTCGGTTACCAGAAATTTTACATAAGTTGAAAGGAACAATCTAATACATTTAAAAATGTTGTCTACCTAGGTTTAATGGTAGTAGAGTTTTCATTTTTTGAGAGATCGGAAATAGAGTACTTATCACTCCCAGTTACCGGAAATCGCCCAAAAGTAGATAGAAAAAAAGTTAACATAAAACGTTGATGTGAAATTTGGAAAAATAACAAAGTTATCGTGTTTGGGTGGCAAATCTTTTTTCCAGCTCCGGAAAATTACAAAACGTCAAAATTTGTCTCAATCTCGAATTACAATTTGTTGACGATTACATTTACAAGTACATTTACAATGCATCCTTTATATTCCGTATACGATACAGTGAGGAGCTGTTAATCGGTGAAAAATATAAAAATTTCCTTTAA